CCACGCTTGGCCATTCCTTGCCACATTGCAATAAGAGCGAAATTACCTCCGCTGGTGAACGGTTATTCACCACTTCAGGGACCTTGGCTCATAACGGAGCAAGGGTATTCTCATCCATGTATATATCAATAATTCCCACCCCGTAGATGTTCTTTTTTGGTCCAGGCAGAGAATCGAACTCCAACTTGCTACACTTAGGTTTTCTACGAGATACACCACTTATAGCCCACCGGGGCGACGCTATTATTATTCAATTGTGAGCGAAAGAACGCACTGAGGATTCGATTTTCACGAAAGATACGGACTTAACCCTACCCGCACTACAACTATCAAGTTCCAGTTGGTTTCGCCACGGGTCAAATAAGGAGCGAGGGTTGCGTGAATGATTGTCTCAAATGGTGGCGCGTTCCGCGATGTACTTTTGTAGTTGCCCCCTTCGTGATGGGCGCGCCCCGTCGCCGCCGATGGATTCTAGGTCAATCCGCCTTACGTGGCAGCATTTATCGAATTCTGCGCGAAGGCCGAACGGCGGCGTGCTTGTGACACTTTGTTGTCAGAATTTTGTATCCACAGTAAGACACCCTGGTCCACCATCCCATCACCATCCTTTGCTCATACTTGTACCGTGTGGCCGAGGGAGAGGCATGTTGAAGACCTGGAAATGACGCTCGCCGCAGTGTACCACACAAAGCAGGAGTCGATCTGCCTGAAACACCAGAGGCGTACCTTGCGACCCCCCCCCCTCCGGCCCTCCTTGTCTGTACCACCATCAACCGGCCCACCAGACTGATACACTGTCAAGGCTTCCGCGATCCCAACCTGTCCGGAAGGCTTTGTTTGTGGGTTTCCCACCGCAAATGGGGATCTTTATGGCGGGGCTCTCTACCTCTCCTCAGCCTCGACCGGGCCTCAGGCGAGAGCCACGCTGGAGGCATCCGCAAGATGGGGATCCGGGGCCCGGGGCAAAGAACAGATCGCGGTGCCTGTATGTAAGGTCAAGTATCAGCCCTTCCGGGAGGCAACTAGAGACGGCGAAAAGAACCGGCGCCTTGGTGGTGGCTTGGCCGGGAAAGGAAGACGCGGCCACGGGGCCGGGGAGGGGGGCACCAGCGCAGGGGATCGCAGCCGCCAGCAGCAGGAATCGCAGGAAAAGATGTTTGCGTGCCACCTTCACCACTACAGGCGGAAGACGAACATCGAGAAAGCCGGTCCGCGTAAAGGCTGGCAGAGCTTCTCCGCGTTCCACGGGTCGGCCACGGCGGCCCCTCCTGAACATTCAAGCGGCGGAGAGAGGCGAACGGGCACCACAACGGCAGCAGCAATTGCTGCCTGCGAGAGTTCGTCGGAGGGTCGCTCCGCCGCAGGTTCTCTCCCGCAAGCTCCTCCCGACGAGGGGAGCGGTGGCTCCGGTGTTGTCACGGTTGGTGCTGGTCGGAGACCAACGACAGGGGTCGAGGGAGCTGCAGCTGCCACTGCTGCTGCTGTTGTGGCAGGACCCGACTGCCCCCTACCAATCAAACGGGCAAGGGTTGAGCGATAGCCCAAGCCGTTAATGATGCAGCAGTAGCCCGCTATGTCGCTTGTGCGCTTCGGGTGGAAGAAGGGGCAGGCTCCTGTCCCTTGGCACCGATCATTCTCGCCGTTGACCACAACAAAAGAAAAGCACGCGTGATTAAGGACGCTGTAAGAGCTCTCACTGTTCGACAACGTCAGTGTCGAGACAGAGCACACACCAGAGAGATGCGAGTATTTTCTCTCGCTGACAAGCGTGTGTTGTGGAAACGCCTCAGAAAATTGCATCATTCAAGAGAAAGGAAGCCGTAACTCTGTAGTCGACGCAGCCAAGCAAGGGTGGTCATAATGACCCGCGAAATGCACATACCTCGGTTCGAGGGGCTATCGTGGCGACACTGACTTTCTCTTGCTCGCGCGTTGGCGATGGGCTTCTCTGCCGTTGCTTGGTACATTTGTATCGTGTCGTCTTCGCCAAGAATATCAAACAGTTTTTTTGGTGTCAATTTAAGGATGCTACTATGGAGCCCTCTGACCACCACACTACGGGTAGATTCGCCAGCATACGCTTCGGCCTCTCTCATGTTTCACGTTCGTTCAGAAAGCTTATCGTTAGAAGGGCTGCCAATTTTGGTGCTTATTGCTTTATTTAGCGTATCCCGGATCGCCTCAAACCAGGGAAACGCCTGGACGGTGTTTTTCGTTCAGTATTCTCAATAGAAAAAGCCCGATACCTCTGACATCGTCACTGGCCTATAGGCCACGTTGCGCTTCAAGCGTTGGGGAACCTTTCGACAAGGATGACCGACGAGTCGGCCCCTACAGCAGTAAGAGCGTAAGCGCCCTCGGCGATCTGCATCTGGCCAATGATTCCGACCTTGACTTGAAGCCAATGGCTTGCCGCTACTCGTCAGCGATGCAAGAAACGGAAGCTCAAGGCTTGAAGGTCACGACGACGCGCACGGCCGTGCCGCTATTTGGCTACAAGGCAACGGCCGTCTTTCTGTCTGTCGAGTTTTCGCTTCCTCTCATCAGCTTCTCCCGTCGGGTTGGAAGAGAGGGAGGAGTCGTCGAAACACGTCGCAAGGCTAAGAAAAGGAGAGTGACCTCCACTGTTCCGCACCCTTCGGGTTTACGAACAATACAAGTACTTGCCTGCCAGCCTAAAACCCTTGACCCCGACGGTACAGGCGCCCATTGTCCCAAACGCCTCCCCGAGACAATCATGGTCACGTTGACTGCTTGTGTTATGGTGGTCACACATGTACAACGGGCACATTGATCTACGTGTCGACTACGTTCCGCCACTCGTCGCTAGTACAACGGCCGATGTTCATTCATCCTCTGGTTCTCCACATCGTCAAAATACTGGACTCGTACGCACGTGACTACAACTGTCACCGCCCTTTACGGGTCGCCCTAAATCAATCAAGACGTAAACGAGTGCCACATGTTCAGAAACACAACCGGTGAAAGATCTTTCTCCGCTGGGCTTCACCCGATCCTTCTTGATTAACTCACAAGATCCAAATGAGGAGCGGCGTGACCCTCCCAAAAAACTTTTCCAGCGGTTGTAGCTTCCCTCGTAATGGTGACTCTTGTGCTCGAACCCTTCGGCGATATGACAGCGCGGTGTTCTGCGTGCCGTATGCTCTACTTACACCCGCTGCGTGTTTCTCGTTACCCCCCTCAACCCCCCCCTGTCCCGATATGCTTTTGCGGTTAAAAATAGACCCACCCGTTGAAGAAGATTCCCAGAGGAGGACGCGCTGCCACCAAGCCAGCGCGTGCTTCCGGTTTTCAACACGCCTCGGAAAATGTCAATCGAAGTGCTCAAAACTTCATAGTCAAATGTCGAACCCAGAGTTGATGACGCGCATGGTGGCTCAACTTCCTCGGCCCGCTCGACTCGAAAGTTCACGTTCACGAAAGCAATAGTATCATCCTATATCTTCCCATCCACTATCAACAGTATCGTATAATGCCCTGCTTCTGCTTTTACGAATGGGCAGCAACAGAAATACCCCCAAAGCCCGTCCTATGCAATTCAACAGGGGAAGAGCGAGCGCGCAGCCTCCAATATACCACAATTACAGCAGTAGCGGACTGCGATCGCGTGAAAGCAGAACACCGATCAGTTCTTGGAGGTTAGAGGGCTGGCGTTCCTCGACCTTGTCGACCCCCGACCACTGGCCTTGCCGCCCTCCGCACGATTCTCCTTGCTGGCGCGGCTCTTGTCGCCGTTCTTCGAGACTCCTCGCTTGGGTGGTGTCTTCTCGAAGACTTCCTCCTCGCTCCCCCATATGTCTTCCTCTTCCTCTTCCTCTTGCTCCTCCACTGCTGCCGCCATGCCTCTTCCACTGGCGCCCTTCACCTTGTCTCGATCGCGAGCGCTCGCCTTCTTGGCCCGGCTTTGCTCCTCGACCTCGTTCTCCTCCTCTTCCTCTTCGTTGTTGTCGTCACTCTCCTCCGCCGAGGAGTCCCCGTCGTCACCTTCGACTACCTCCTCCTCGTCCGACTCCGAGTCGCTACTGAGGACCGGTGCCGCCTTCCTCTGCCGCGTCTGGAGGACGTGTTCGACCAAAGCCGCACACGGAAAAAAAGGAGATAAATCATGCCGTCAGAAATAAGGCAATTGCATGTGCCGTTTACTTCCGCGGCTATGAATCGATGTGGGTGGCGAAAGACTGCGAAACGTGAGTGATGGCTGCTGTGTCGCGGACTACGACCACCCTGTGTGCGCCGAGAACCCGAGTTTCTAATTGTGTCTTCGTTGCCATCCACGGGCAACGTTCATCAATTTACGGGAACTGAACATGTGCCGAAATAGGACTCCTCCGGACTGCAGTTGGACCCGCCGTCGCCTCACCTTTCCCTTGCGACGGGTAGAGCCGGCTTGTATTGCTGCCTTAGTGTTCGACTCGGTCCCTTTGATGGGACCCTCGGAGTCCGACGCCGCTTCCTTCCTTCGCCCTCCCGTACGACTGCCGCCGCCACCACCGCTCGATAAAGATGCAACCGACGAACGCTTGCCGCCACGGGACCGCTTGCGTCCGGCGGCGCGTGTTGCCCGCGCCGCGGCGTCCTCGTCCTCGGCCCCGCCCTCGTGGTACTGGAATAAAGTTTGGGCGAGAGGGCACATGTATCCATCTTTGTTCTACGAACGCCAGTGGTACACTACATTCCAAGGAGTTTTCATTGGTGCAAGAAGAAGGAGATCCCTCGTCAGATTTGAGGATGCCATGAATTGTCCGATCCAGTCGCACGCCACTGGGGCGAACGGCTTCGTGCGTATGTAGCAATATCGCAAGTCAATTCGCAGCAAAACGATGCTGGACCAGCAAGCCAGCAGCGCGGGCGGGCGCGCGGCACGACCCGCGTCTCACCTTGCGGAGCTGCGCCTCCCACTCGGCGACCGCTTCCTTCATCTCGAGGGTCGCGAAGCTCTTGGTCCTCAACACCACCGTCTTGAAGTTGTTGAACACCTCGTCGTCCTGCAGCTTCTCCTTGTACGTGGGCACCAGCTCCGCCAGTCGGCTCACCGCCTTCTCGGTCACCTTCTCTCGCGACGCGGAGAGATAGAGACAGGGGGGTGGGGCACCGCAGATGAAAAGTGAAGGCGAGGCGAGAGGTCCTCCGCTCTGGGGGGGGGGGGGGGGGGGGGGGGG